AAAAAGCTTAATTAGTTGACTTCAAAATCTTATGTATATATTATTGAATTTTTTAATTTAATTATAGAAAATTAAAAATAATAAAAGAAGAAGTTGGGAATTAAATAGAACCCCACATCCGGAAGTGGGAATAGTACAAGTACGTGGTTGGTTGTACGTTAGAATAAGTTGGCTTTTATAGTTTCTAAGTATGTAATAAAATCTAGTAATAAAATGGTAAAATAAAGTCAAAGAATTCATAGGTTAGGTTTTATATACTACTTAATGATGTTTTACCTTGTAGTTGTATAAGGTAATAAAATAATTAATTTAAAGTACTAAATATTAGATTTTCCTACATATTAAATAAGGAAAGATCTAAATATGCAAAAAATTAATTATTTTTAGAGTCTTAAATATTAGGAAAGTAATATGTTATATATTGACGTTCAACTTCCTCCAATTTTCAGTATATTCTCCGTCCTATTGGCCAGACGATTTTAATTTGATATTCTACAATTGGAATATTGCTAACTGCATCAATGAGGTTCGCTACTATTTTTGTCATGATTTGGTTAACCATTTTATGCTACGGAGGATGCCAACAAATAACACAACCTCCTTATAATGCAATAGTAGCACTAGATGGCTCGGGCAATTATACGACAATAATGGCTGCAGTCTCAGCAGCTCCAAACAACAGCGTTACATATTACTACATCAAAATAAAACAAGGAACCTACAATGAATACGTCCAAATCGAAAGCTGGAAAACGAATATCGTTTTCATCGGAGAAGGAATGGACAAAACCATAATATCCGGAGATAAAAGTTATGGTGCAGGCATCGGGACAATGTATACTGCAACTGTGGGTGCGTAAATCTATTTTCTTTATCTCAAATTATTCTCTTTAAGAGTAGATTATTCCTTGGCAATATGTGCATTGTTGATTATGTTAATTGTTTTTCACTTTTCAGGGGTGAATGGCCAAGGCTTCGTAGCCCAAGGAATCACTTTTAGGAACATAGCTGGACCTAAAATGCTACAGGCAGTAGCATTAAGAGCAGAAGCAGATTTTCTTACCTTCTATCAATGCCGTTTTGAGGGTTATCAAGATACTCTATACACAAAGTACGGTAGACAGTTTTATAGGGATTGTGATATCTTGGGCACCATAGACTTTATCTGCGGTGATGCAGCTGCAGTA